CCTGCTATATTTAGGACAAGAGTCGCGACCTTAAATTGCTTGCACAAAACTCTTGATCAGCACTCAACATTTGTTTATTGTTGTTCATTTAAATCGTTATGCGCAGAGAGAGAGAGAGAGAGAGAGAGAGAGAGAGAGAGTGCCTGCGAGTGCGAGCGAGAGTAAGGTCTGCGGTCTTGGCCATTAGTTGATTTACTTGGTTTTGTGTAAGTTAATACGTTGTCAAATATGTTTAAACTTAAATAAACTACCTATACAAGTAGTTGTGTCTCTTTGTATTAATTTGTCCTGTTATTAACGTAATGCGCGTCATTGACAAAATGCGCAACCAGATATTCGAATAGTTCGAATATATGGGGTTTTTTTTAGGGAATATTCGAACGTCATTTTTGAGCAATTTTGACAGCCCTAGAGCCTACGTGTGACGTAGCTCTACGGAATCACACTACGTTAACTGACTAGAGGCCCAAAGAGAAGGAAATGAATAGTTGAAATAAAGTCGTTATTTTTGTTTGTTTTTGCGCACAGAAAGTATTCTCGTCGCTTGATAAACTTAAGATTGAGCCACTGTAGTCATTTGGACTATTTTAACGATGTCTTTAATAACTTTTCGAGGCCGGCAAGTTCAATCCCTGAAGAAGCCTATGGAGGAGTGATCCGGCTCTCAGATTTCATCAAAAATATCTTAATTCGTGTTCCGAAGATGAACGCAGGTCTTACGGGGTTGAACAACATGAGGGAGAGTAATTACTGACAGAATTTTCATTTTTGGGTGAACTAACCCTTTAACTCTGTATACACAACCATGTGGAGCTTCAGCCTGAGAACACAAGCTCTGGTAAAGCATTCGGTTACAATTACTGCAACACAACATACTTTTACTTTCAAACGCATCATATCCATACATCATTGTGTGCTATATGTGTGTAGCATCTGAAGGGTTGAACACACTGCCGTCCAGATCAGCTGTGTTTGAGCGGCGGTCGCACTGGAAGAGGCGTTATATGAGATTCAACTGCATGTGGACAGAGATTGGCTGAATGCAGACGCACACCACAACTGCTGTTGCATTTGCTTTTAATCCATTTCATCCCACTTTACAGTGTTTAGCATTTATGAATAATTTAAAAATAGATATACCGCTTGTGAAGCCTTGGAACAATAAACAGCACACAAAACTCATGACATATTTAGTTTCTTCTTGGACAGTTTGACTTTAAAAACAGGCAGATGCCCTAAAACTGCTGTAACTTTACATAACTTGAACAGTAATAAAAGAAAATGGACAGTTAGTTTACTGGTTTGATCATTTGAGGTAGATTAAAAAAGTGTTTTAAGACGTTAAACACAATACTTTAATGAGTACATCCTACAAAGGGAACAAACTACAGCAGTGCACTGAAATACTGGGACGATATACGCAAACACTGTTTAAATATTCGTTTGCAGAAACACTTGAACTAAACGTCATATGTTTGGATTTCACAAAAGACAAAGCCTCAGCCAACAAAGACAACAAAGACAGCCAACAACCCTGTCTGTGAAATGGCCCGGTTTCACAGACAGGGTTTAGATTAAACCAGGATTAGGCTTTAGTTAAATTAGGACATTTAAGAAGCTTTTATAAACGTGCCTTAAGAAGAAAAAAACCCCATCTTGAGACAAAACAATAGCACTTATTATTTTACGAGTTGCCTTCAGTTAAAACAGTTCGAACATGCATTTAGTCTGGGACTAGATAAAGCCTTGTGTGTGACACCGGGGTAAAGTGTGCCAGAGCATTGTGGATTAAACCAAACCTCACCCATGATTCACTGCACACACACTCACCACAGAGAAGAGTCACCTCAACAACGAGGCTCTTACGATGTGCTCCAACAAGACATGCACATCTGTGAAACTCCAAACATGTGACGTACACAAACGTGAGTTGTGTTTAAAATGAGCCTGTACAATCATGACAAATGAACACACAACATCCTAAAACAGACATTAGTGTCGTTTAAAACCTCTGTGTGTGAGTTATAACATCTACATATTGGCACAGTTCAGTTTTACAGTTTCAAGACAAAAGAATCTGATGAAGGTGTTCGTCATTGCAGCTGTCGAGTGGGACTGGGTAAGATATGCTGGAAAAGTTATATTTATTAACTAGTGTAGCTCCAATATGTCAGTCTAATTGCAAGCTATTTGATGAAATGTTTATCGGTGTTTTAATACTAACGTCCACCATTAAGGGAGTTTTATGATCTCAGACAGGGTCAGGTTTCTCTACAACTGCACCGTTATAAAAATCTGATACCAGCATGAAATATTTTACAAGTTTACAAGAGATGTTTATCCGAGAGTCCGTTGAGGACCAACTCGACAACCTGATAGTTCTCTCCGTGAACTTTCTTGAGTTTCATCTTGAGCGAAGGCTGTTTCGGCACAGGTTGTTCCCGCTCGTGATCCCCTGAGCGGATCCACTTAAAGTTCTTCAGCGTTTGGATGCCGACATTGAATGTTTTAACTGAAGGATTCGGATGGTTCAGGACCACAACCGGCTGGTTCGGCCCGGGAATCCTGACGAGCTGATCCGCTTTCAGAGGAGTTAACCTCAGTTCTCTTTGACCTTTGGATGGGAAACGGGGAAGGCCCATCTCAACCGACGACGATGACCGACGTTTTTTGGCTTTTCTCTTTTCCTTTTTATGTTTTTTACGCGGCGGCGAGTCTGGGTTCTTCTCTTGACTTTCACGAAAGTCTCTCTTTAGTATCAGCTTGATGGCCACTGAAGGGCCACCGGACAAGTTCTCCTCACTTAACATGCAGCAGAGAACCGGTCGTGCCGTCAAACTCTCCTCTCGTATTGGCGCTTCGGGAAGCTTCTTCGAGGCTTCCAACAAAGTACTCGGGATCCTCACCAAAGCTACTTTCGGATACATGCGACGTTGTTGTTGGCAATCCAAGTTCATTCCAGACTCGCATTCAAAATTTCCCTTGTCTTGATGTGAAACGTTGTCCTTGTCTGATGGGACGATGCTCTGGTTTGGCATCGCCAACGGTTGATTTGGAGCTCGTTTTAAATGACTTGTTTTTAGGGGTTTTCCAGCTGGTGTTTTCCCTCGTCCACAAGTCTTTGATATTGTAGAGCCTTCAGTATTCTCAACCTCTGTCTTAGTTTCTTTAAGGCACAAAGAAGCATCTTTGTGTTTCTCCTCAAGTTCCTCCTCCTTTTTAATCAGAAAACTACAGACCAGCGATTGCTTTGCACTTCCCACCTCGTCCTTTGGTTCCTTGCTTTGGGTCGAAGTAGGTGTAGGACAGAGAGAGAAAACCGACGAGATCACGGGAAGGCCTCCAGAACTCAACTCTGGGCCCTCGAGAGCGACGACGTCACGAGCCACCGCTGATCGCTTGCTCCCGGGATCTTTGGGCTTCAGGATGAGCTTGTTCCTCACTGGTGTCTCTGAAGAACACTGTGGTTTGTGTACTGAATTAACTCTCTTTGTGGTACTCTGGACATCAGTGGATGAAGAAGGCTCCTGCTCTTTGATCTTGTGAGATGTTGAAGATGTTGAAGATGTGGACGGGCTGACTGGACACCCTTTGGCAGTAGCAGCAACTTGACATTTAAAAGACAATTTGCCTCCAGTAGTGACAGGTGAAGGTCTTTCCTCGGTCTTCTGGCCTTGCGGGACTCCATTCGGCGGGATCAACCGTAGCTCCAGCTCCCGAGTCCCATTGACATTTTTCACCTCAACCAACTCCACCAAACACCCAGCAGGGATATTGATCTCCTCTGGACAGGACACTGTCAAAGGCTTGTTGTGTTGAATTGGCTGGTTCAATGGTGCTAACAGTTCCACTTGGACACTGGATAACGGACTTGATGTCTCAGCTGATGACCCTACAAGTATCCTGGAGTTTGTCTTTGACTGATTGCTCTTTTCGACAGTGGAGTGCGGTGGACTTATGATCGAACCACTGGGATTTGTACTCGTTTTCAGTGTCGTAACATTAATCCCTGTTGTGGACTGACTAGCCCTCTGATCCATTTGGACATTTGGAACATTCCTCTTGGACAACGGCATGTTAAGCAGTGTTCTGAGCGGGGTGTTCATTTCACCAGGCAGTGGGAACCGGATTCTGCAAGGGGTTTTCGAAAGCACAGCCTTTTCAGGGACTCTCGGGCTTTGCCGTAGTGGTGCTGTAGAACTAACCTGGACTCTTGAGAATGTGACTTTCGGAATAGGCTTTTCCAAAGTGGTCCTTTGACCAGCCACCTTACTTTGACCATCGACACTGAGCAGGGAGTTTGATAGGTTGCCGTTTTCCTCCCGTGATCTTAGAACCACTTGAGGCGCGTTGCCTAACGAGTGACTTGCGGTTGAAGTGCAGCTGGGAATAGCACTGGTGAACTGTGTCTTAGAAACCGGAATTGTATTGGTGACACTTGGCGTTGGCAAACTGAAGGTCACACGTGCACGACTACTGCTAGTTTGGCTCACTGCTCGACCAATAGAAGATGATTTGTTGACTCTGGGTTGACTTCCACTCGGATGTTCGACTTGGGAATTGGGAATTGCATACTGGTCGTTCCCTTCAGGCCAACCTGACATCCCGAGAGTTTCAGGGACGGCTGGCGTGGATACAGTAAAATCCGTTATGAAGCCTTCTTCTGCGTCCCTCTTGTGTATACGAAGAATATGTTTCACCATGTAATCCCTCCGCACCGCTCCGTACGAGCAGAAGCTACACCGGTACGGGAATGAGCCCGTGTGTGAGACGACGTGTTTCTGAGACTCGGTTTTAGAGTAGGAAACATAACTGCAGAGAGCACAGGAGAACGTAACCTCTTTATGATGGGAAACGTGCCTCTCAAACAGGTCAGTGTCCTTTGTTGAAAATCGGCATTTTGCACAGCACAGGCGATCGATGTCTTTTTTAGGTATAGCACTGTCCTTGTTGCTCATGAATGCCATGAAACTTTGTTGTGAGCGCATGGTCAACACATCAGGTTAACAATCCCATGGGACAAATATTACAGCAAATAAGCAATCCACACTGGCTGTTTCTTCACAAGTAACGATCCCTTTCTTTAAGCTCAGAAGGTTGAAGATACGCTGTTAGTTTGTACCTGCATAATGGGGGAAAAAAGAGTGTTTTAGAAATACAGTTCATAAAGTATCAAACAGCAACTGATTAACAAAACAATCTTTCATTGGTTATCTTGTACAAAAACACTTCTATAGAGATGTAAAGGCACTGAAATACTCAAGGCGGAGTTATTTTTCGTTGTTTGCTTAGGGGTAAAAAGAAGTTCAAAATATCTAGCGACATGGATGCAATTTGGATTGGCACTCCAGTCAAGTTACGTTTAACACAGCACTTTATACAATAGAAGATTACTAGCAGCAGCTTTTCAGTATTAAACATGAAAAACAGTGTCAGTGTTGCTTCCAGTGAGAATTACAGCTTCAGTTTCTACTATAAAATGGCTCTCCACTGTTACCCGTGGACGTCTGAACGCGAAGAAATAAACCGGAGAAGATTTACACATCAAAGAAGGCGGAGCCTCTGAGCCACACCCACCTATTAAGTAATCGCCACGACCAATGGTAGTTCGAGGTGTTTACCAGCCAAAGTGAACATTTTTAGGAAAACCCTAAACCGAAAAACCCTTAACAACCAAACCTCAACGGGCTGATGACCATCAAGTACGGTGTGCCAGGGTTTATGGGTAATAATCTCACAGTGACAGGACATGGTCTATAACGTCCAGTTTTGGGTCTACATGTCAAACTCTAACACTAACATCAATTTCACTTTTTTAAAATGAGATTTTCAGCTATTAATGTTCGAATCTTTAGTATAGCAATTCTTTGTTCTCCAATTTGTGCAGATGAGTTGCATTCATCACATCTTAAAGTTTCATTTTCATTGTTTTTTGGCTTGCAAATGTTCTTTTTTTTCTTACTTTGCTGAACAATAGTGACTACATGAATCTTTGATATTCAAAACCGTTCACCAATGAAAAAATCATGTGTTTAACCATTATTACTTTAAGCAATAATTTTATATACAAATCCAATGTGTAAATGACCTTTTGATTGACTGTAAATCAGATAAAATAAGAAATTTCTAAGATATAGTCGTACCAATACTGCAAGAATACAGTCAATGTTCTTTAATTAAGCTTTGATTAAATGAGTGTCAGTTTCTAGTTAAAATCACAAACACGATTGAACTGCAACGTACAAACTACACTTATATTAATGTGTCTGCAATCAATCCAATAAATCACTTGGAGCTTTCTGTTAAATGTTTATTTTCTAAACACTATAAAAAGCACACAAGCACATTTAATATATAATTAATCGTGCAATTTCTGAGGGCTGAGTGTGCTTTTAAGATGCATTTATAAACCCACAAGCATAGGCATAAAGCATCTAATGATTCTGCTCTCTCAGAAGAAAAAGAGGAGGAGGAGACAGGATGAACAGCACCCATGAAATCCTCATTTCCCTGAGGCTATGTAAACAAAACGAGCATTCACGCATTTCTTGCGTGCCTAAGTGTTGCGTGTGCTCGTCATGAGCCGAACCCCGCACGCGGCCGCTATGACGCGCGTGCACCAGGCGAAAACAACAATGCGTTTAAACACTAACCTTGCGTTAAAACCCACTTCTTCTTCTCAAAAGAGCGACTGGTGCGTTAAATGCGTCCATTGCTCGATGTTTTCTCGGCAGCGTCGCATGCATTGTTTGCTTTCCACCGCGGTGACCGCGCAGATTGTGAGTGAGGGTGCGCGTGCACTGACTGAGCATGTGACGCGACGCGGGCCTCTGATTGGCTGTTGGCTGCAGTAGATCTCTACAGCTCACGCGGGCACCCGCATGTCTCAATGAGCCAGCACAAGCGTTTGGCTCAAAAACCAGTGTTTTCTCGCACTTTACGGCGATTTACCATAGAACACGGATCTTAGAGCATTTGTTCTCTTAAAGTTCAGTCTGGTTTAGTCAGTAGATTCTTCAGTATTGAATTTGCACGACTTCTCCGGTTGCATAACATCAACCAAGATGGCGTTCATGCCATAACAGAAAAAAAAGACAGGAGCAAGACTGTTATGGGTGATAGTATCTCGAATTCACATGTATTCCAGTTTTTAGAACAAACTTGAGATCTTCTGATGGTTATTATTACATGCTGGTCCATATAGTATAATACACACACACACACACACACACACATATATATATATATACATATACACATTGTTTAACCGCGCACATAATTTTTAAATCAAAATAGCTTCCCCCTCCCTCTTGCAGCGCTAAGGACTCTCCTGATGACGTGTTTACAGGCGTGAGGGCGTGGCAACCTGTGACTCACGTGATTCATCAATAGCAAACCACACCCATCCAATCAATTGCCCTATTTGTCCTTGTTCCAGATGTCCGTGTTGCCAAGTCTGTGTTTTTTATTTAAAATGCTAATTTCAGTGACTGCACTGTAAGTTTGAATGCAGGGTTTAAATTGCTGCATTAAATCATCTTTATTTCAGCTATATGACACAGATGAGTGTAAAGATGACTCAAGCCTGCTAAAATAAACTAAAAGACTCACATGCTCAAACACCATTTCCTTTTTTATTGCAATGATTCATCATATACAGTCAAGTCACCTTTATTTATATAGCTTTTACAACACAGTGTTTCAAAGCAGCTTTACAGAGATAACAGGAAAACAATGCAACAGAGTTTGTTTCCAATTTCCATATATACAGTAAGACAGATATACAGTCAGCATGTGTGTGTTCAGGGAGCAAAGTTGTGTATTTTGAAATAAGGATCAGCTGAATGTACATTATCCCACTAAATACACGGACAAGAGATATAGATTTTTTAAGGGAGGGTTGCAACCAAATAATAATAGTAAGCACTGTATCTTAAAAGGAAAGAGACTTTATATAATATTATCTTTCGGTAAATATAGATGATAAATATTTGTTTACATTCATTTTAATGGTTTGTGATCCTCACGCATTTTCTCCCGTTACACGTCACTTCCTCCGGGCGTGTGCGCGCAGGTCTGATCGAGCCCAAACCATCTTTACCATATATGGGCAAAGCCGAGCCGTGCGCGCGCCGCCGCCTCTTCCGCGTTCAGTGACGGAAGTGCACAGATCCGGACGGACCCAAACACACTCGCTTATTCATTCAATCTTTCAATCTTTCGTTCACCGGAGGGAAATAAAGCCGCTATGTCTTACGAGCTGAGTAAGTTATAGTCTTTGTCTGTCTGCTCACTGCGCGTGCGTCTGTGTATGTGTGTGTGAGTGTGTGTTACTGGCCTGTTTTACTCTGCTGAATATCCATGTAACGTTACCATGTTTCTCCAACGAATACCATGGTAATACCATTACGCGTGTCCAGAAACGTGGTATTGTAATGGGAGGTTATTTTGTGGACGTGTCTGAAGCGCTGCAGTTTAAACTGTGTGTATATTTATCTTACTACTATGCAGAGGTGAATGTAAATCTATGATGTATATTTCTGCCTGAAGAGTGTTAAACTGTGATTGTGTGACTCGATCCAAACACTGATTTTTGTGTTGGTGTTGAGAATCATGATCAGTCTGACACCGAGTCAACCAATGGCGCGTGTTTGGGGCGGGACTATCTGTCTGACTGACCAATGGCAGACGGGGTGTGTTTGAAAACTGTCGTTATTTTTGCAGTTCAAAACATTAAGAACTTGTAACTGTCACTCAGTAACTGTCAGTGAAATGCGTTAATTCAGACCTGAAATTGGTCTCTTTAAAGAAGTGAAAGCGCTTCTAAATATAAAAGGGTAAAAATGTTTAAAGTCCCCCTGTGGTGAAAATCAAGTTTTTAATGTTGTCTATGTGGTGTTTTTAATATGCTTTAAGACAAACCATGTGTCAATTCATAAGTCGACACCATTGCTGAGTATTTTCTCCTTAAAACTAGTCTAAAAAGATCGCTGGTGTTTCTGACGTCACAAACTACCTTGCAGTGATGGGAATAACGGCATTATAAATAACGCCGTTACTAACGGCATTACTTTTTCCAGTAACGAGTAGCCTAATCTAATTGATTACTCTTCTCATCTTAATAACGCCGTTACCGTTACTGCCAAAAAATGTGGCGCGTTACTATAACTAATGAAGCTGTTTTTTTTTCATCAGACCAACTAGATCTCTGAGCAAGAGGCAAATACTTTTTTTACTGTTCTTCCTTGGTTAGTGGGCAGAGCACGAGACAAGCGCATAAATGCTGACGATTGGCTGAGGTAGAGTAAAATGTCATTGTAAGCCAATCAGAGGTAGAGTTGGGCGGGTGTTTGAAAGCAGGCATAGTTGTGATGGGCATTCGGCTCTTTTGACTCAGCTCACTGAAAAGAGCCGGCTCTTTTGGCTCACAAACGGCTCTTTAAATGACTTTGACTATAATATTTCAATTTTTATTACGTAATTATTTAATTTCTATAGGCTAAATTTGTAAAAATAGAGTCAGCTCTTCAGATATGCGAGCCAGCTCCCGACGTTCACCTAAAAGAGCCGGCTCTTAGAGTCGCCTCATTCGCGAATCGCGAACGACCCATCAAAAGCTCATTCGCGAACGAGTCGATCCATCATCACTAACGCTCATTCGCGAACGACCCATCATCACTAACGGCTAATAACGCTCATGAATTGCGAACGACCCATCATAACGCATAGTCGGACAGGGTAGAGGTGGGGTCACATTTGAGCATTTAAAATGTAATTTTACTTGAAAGTAACGCAATAGTTACTTTCTTAAGTAACTAGTTACTTTTAAAATTTGTAACTGGGTAACTAATTTAGTTACTTTTTGGAAGTAGTAACTAGTAACTAACTAATTACTTTTTAAAAGTAACTTGCCCAACACTGCTACCTTGTAACCAATCAGATCAACGAGTGGATCTCTGAGCTGAGTGAGTGGAGGCGGGGCTCATTTGCATATTCATATAACCGTATACTAAATGAGGCAAGGGTGTCGAGTTACATTCAAGATATTTAAAGGCATGAAGAATTTTCTATAGGAAAAAACGGACTCTAAAAATTGCTAGAACTCAAAGCTGTTAGTCTAACCATATTTGAAGTTGATATCACAAAAAATTGAGCCGCTAAAAGAGTTCAAGGTACCGTTTTCCATGATAACGCAACATCCAATTTCAAAACTGTTTTCACAGGATGAATTTTGAGTGTTTACGTTTATGAATAATACCTAATTTATGATGATTACTAATTCAATTATGTGAATTGGGTGGGTAAAGCCAATAAAAAAGCGCGACAAGTGTCTTGCTATTTTCTAATTTAAGAAGAAAGTTGTATGCGCTAGAATAAACCGAACGATATCGTCGGACGCTAATAGTTATATTTATAGTTCTTGGTGTGAAATTTATTGTTGATTGATAAAATTTTCTCGTATTTGTTTTATAACACTAAAATAAGATGATCAAGCTACGTTTTAAGTACTTAAGAATTTTTCAAGAATTGCACTGAGAATGTGTTACCGTATGTTCCTGTCCGGCAGAGCGCGTGTTTGCCAGCCTGCCGCACATGGAAAGGGGCGTGGCCAAAGTCCTGGGCGGAGACCCCAAGGGGAACAACTTCCTGTACACCAACGGCAAGAGTGTGATCATCAGGAACATCGAGGTAAGCTCGGCATGTTCTGGAGTCGGGAATGCAGCGATATGGCGATTCAAAGACTTATTATTTAAAAACTACTTTTACACAATTATGAATAAAGAATGCGCATCAGGTGTTTTCATGTTTTTATTCCATTTCTGAAGGTTCTATGGAATTGTTATTCTACTTTAATTATATATCCCTACTGTATGTATTTTGTAGATGCAACTTAATTTCATTGTAAATTGGAAAAAGTCATTATTTCAACTGTATATATTGCGTCTGCCATATTTAAACTTAAACTTAAAGAAAGTTCCAGGTTTCCGACGCGTAAATACGACATTGGTGGTGATGATCATGTGCGATCAACTTTTTCTACAAGGTTTTCTACAATAAAAAAAAAAAAAAACTTTTAACTCTATTCAATTTATACTGTAAATCAGTGGTTCTCAAAGTGGGGTCCACGGACCCCTGGTGGTCCGTGAACTATAGCCAGGGGGTCCGCGAAATAATTTATAACAGCCTACCGTTTTTCCCGACTATAAGTCATGTTTTCTTTAGCATCTGAAAACTTGCTATTTATTCCAAAGTGACTTATATAATGCATTTAATGTCAAATAATAAAAAAGTAGGCTCTTAAAGGTTTCTATAGATAGATAATCTATCTATATTTCTTATGTCTGTGCGTCAAGTATTCGCTGTGTTTTGGTCGATTTTTGGGCACGTGCGCCAGAAAGGAAACAGAGACGGCAGAACGCGCATCCTGTTGTGTTCTCTATTTTTAAAAGGCATGACATTTTGTAGTCATTTTTTATGTATACACAAATAAAAAATAGACACTTTGCCGTTTTGAATGATGTACTCTTATCTGTATGACCATAAATAAGAGTATTCCTTTGTTTCCACTGCTGAGGAAAAATCCAAGTGTTCGCGCCGGCGTCTCGTGTGCGCGCACAATATGTCAGTTCTAGCACTGCTAATTTGACATCAAAACCTGTTCATTATCAAAATAAAATACTCACCGAACTTATAAAAAGTTCTGCTTAATTTAATTTGTCTGTTGTAGCCTACACTATGAAGGCAGTGATGGTCAATCATATACCGTCGACTTGCTGTTGTTTCAATCTCATTTCTCCAAATGTGAAGATGCTGATACGTGTAGGCCTATATTGGGACTGAAGCATGAAGCTTTCTTTACATAAATAGTTAAGCATCCAAATTTTAGGCTACATCGCAAATATGGAAACTTTGGACCGAATGAGAGATGCACGAGCCCAACGTCTGCAGTTTCAGTTTCGATTCAACTTAATTCGTTTAGACTTGATGTTTTAAATAAATGTTGTCTGTAGGCTATACTATTATTATTATTATTTGTATTATCTATTAATAGTATTATTTTTCATTCTCGTTTTGTTCTGAATACATAATTTAAGGATTTGCTGTGGAGTGAGGGGAAGTAGGCCTACTACGCCTCAAGAACGCAACAAAGTATTACACACTCAGGTGAAACTTATTTTCTGGAAAATACAGTAAATTATAAATTTGTGCATAGGGACAGGGTCGTATACCCACAATTGAGGTCCCTGAGGTCCGGGCCTCTGTAATTTTTCTTTGTGTAAAATGAAAGTTGTGAAATAATTGCCTAATATTAACTCTAATTTGGTGCTGCAAGGATATTAAACATCGCGATGATAACTGACCTTCTCATCTGAGCGGTTTCAGCAGACTAACAGCGCTCGTCAATGTCAAAATGTTTGAGTCGGAATTAAATCAAAGTAGGCGGGCTTATGTTCACAGAAGCTGCAAGCCGAGCGCGAATTTCCGCATGACGCTTCAGTTATTCGGTCATAAAGTGCGAGATAAGATGTAAATCGCTAAACTAAACAGCTGTTTTAGATAGAAGTTTTAAACGAACGCAAAGTATCAACCGGGAAAGGAAATATAGGGGAATAGCGGGGCACAACGTAAATCCCAGTTGTGCAACTGGGTCATGTTGTCACACTGCGTTACAATGAATATGTTTTGAACTATGTTGTAGCCTATAGCTGTGTGTTCGTTGTCAAACTCAAAAATTATTTTATTTTTAATTATTTTAAAATGCCATTATTTTATATGAAAAAGTTAATGTCTTGTATATTTGTTTGATTAGATCAGATAACATTTTAATCTGTCATATGGTCATGTTACAATGTGCCCCACCTATGGGACATGTTGTCACATTGCACTTCCATTCCTTCTGGGTATATCAAGAAAAAAGTACAATTTTTGGCCTTAAAAACACCTTAAAATGCACGTGTAGATCAAGAAAATCAAAAATTCCTCGGGGGGGCATGCCCCCGAACCCCCCTAGCAAGATCACTTTTGGGACCTCAGTATGCTTTTTAGAAAACCCTGCATATGACCCTGGGTGGAGACTATTTGTGTCAAAATATTTCATTAACCGCTCCCACATTAACTTTAGGCTCAGTCACTGTTATAAATATGAGGGGGTCCTTGGAAATGTTTTTCCCCTGTAAGGGGTCCCTGGCTCCAAAATGTTTGAGAACCCCTGCTGTAAATAGCTTTTGTAGTTCTTGCATGTATGATGTGTGAAAGATACCATATTTAACATGAGCTGAAGCCAATATGCAAAGTTGAAGTCTTGTGGCTGTTTTTTTTTTTTACAGACGAAGTAAATTTTGTGTGGTAATCTTTGCATTTTTTTTTAGCACTTGCTGTGAACACACAAAAAAAATGGACATGAACAAATATTTACACTTGTGCTGCTGCTCATGGTCAAACATGAGCACATTGGAAACGAATAGGAAGTTAATTTCCTCTAGTGGAAGCGTTTGGTACTGCGCCCGAATATTTTGAGATGCCAACCTCAAATTTGGAACACAACTTTAGATTTATGGCTTTGATTTTTCTCCCAATTTTAGAGGAAAAACGTGTTTTGGAAAATATATTTCATATAAAAGTAAATAGTACTTTTCTAAGTTTTTCATAACAATAAACTAAAAAATACTATAACTTTAAGATCACTTTTTTATTTAATTTTTTATATATACGTTTTGCACTTCTGTAATAATCTGCCAAGTGTCTTTAAAAGGAGACCAAGACCGAGTTTTACCACAGTTTAATCTGGAAATTTTATTTTCAGGTCTATGCTCAAAAAGTCAATAAATGTATTATAATTACTTTATAAATATAAATTAGTACCATAAAATAAATTCATATATTAGATTAAAAAACTATCAAAGTGAAAATATAGTACATTAATTTAATTGGGGGGGGGGGGAAAGTAGTCGTTTTTTGATGGCCATGCGAAGATTGTTAAAGTGATAATATAGTGTTTATATTGTATAGATTATCTGTATGTTGATGGTGTTTTAGTGGGGTTAAGTCTTCAATAACTCTGTCCTGCAGAACCCTGCGATCGCAGACGTCTACACCGAACACCCGCATCCGGTGATCGTGGCGAAATACTCTCCCAGCGGATTCTACATCGCGTCCGGCGGTGAGTGGCGTGCCGTCTGATCTCCGTCGCGGCGTATTAGCGGCTCGTAACCGTGTGCTCCTCTCTCCCGCGCAGACGTGTCGGGGAAAATCCGCATCTGGGACACGACGCAGAAGGAGCATCTGCTGAAGTACGAGTACCAGCCGTTCGGAGGGAAGATCAAGGACATCGCCTGGACCGAAGACAGCAAGAGAGTGGCCGTGGTGGGGGAGGGGCGAGAGAAGTGAGTGACAGGTGCAGGCCACGCCCCTAAGCTGGCCCCGAGTGCTGGGCGGTTTACTGTTCATACTGAATACCGCATTCGGTGTAATATACCGCAAAACCGGTGTATGTCGCTTAAAGGTGCAGTGTGTAAGTATTAGCGGCATCTAGTGGTGAGGTTGTGAATCGCATCCAACAGAAGTTACGGTGCCCGACAGGAAGTGATGTCGGCGTCTGAGACAGCAGAGTAGCCAGTTCAGCGGTTTCTTTACAAAGATAATTTAAGAAATTAGGTTTACTTAATTATTCAGTAAAACGATGTTATTGCGAATATTATTGTCACTTGTTCATCATTGTGTCAGTGTTTTACTCGCTGACTTTAGCAGCTTCTGATCATGAAGAACAACATGGTGATGAAACATATCGTGTGTGTGTGTGTGTGTGTGTGTGTGTGCAGGTTCGGCGCGGTGTTCCTGTGGGATTCGGGCTCATCTGTCGGAGAGATCGTGGGTCACAGTAAGATCATCAACAGCGTTGACATTAAACAGACGAGGCCGTATCGCTTGGTCACGGGCAGCGACGACAACTGCACCACCTTCCTCGAGGGCCCGCCCTTCAAGTTCAAGTGCACCATGAGCGTAAGTCACACTCATTTATTCTGTAATGGTGACAGATTACGCCCCTTTCAACAGATGTAATATAAATCTATGGAGTCCCCAGAATGTGTGTGTGAAATCCCCCCAGATCATTTATAATAGCTCAGCAAATTTGCCCTTTTTTGGGCGTGAGCAAAAACGCGCCGTTTATGTGTGTGTACCTTTAAATGCAAATGAGCTTTAGCTCCGCCTCCGTTCAGAAGAGGGCGGAGCCTTCACACGAGCTTCAGAGACTCCGGCAATAACAACACAGGCCAATCTCACTGATCCAGAGTCAGGAGTAACAGCAGCGAGTGCAGCCTTACGGAGAGACTCAGGGAGAGCTTCACTTTTACACGTTTCTGAATGTTAGCGGAGACATTTCTGTAGTTCAGATTCTCCCTTTAGGAGTGTTTAAAATAAGCTAAAACCGCTAAAATGAAGATGTGAGGCGAGTCACCTTCACCAATCCTGTCCTGACGATTAATTGTCATTCAAAAAAAATTAGATTAATGACTTAATTCTGTTGTGTTTGTGTCAGTGCAAGCTTACTCGAAGTCCTATATAATATAATACACATTTTAATAAAATTAGTCCTTATGATTTACTTGTTGCTGTTTATATAATTATTTAAATATGATTAAAGCTCTTTATTTATTTTGTGCATATTTATGGCATTTCTTTAAACCCTTAAAATTCTCTTATTTGAATGAAATTTGCGCTTCACAATTATTGTAGTTCTCTCTAATAACTGTGATCATAATAAATAACCAGGATCCGGCGACTGATCGATGCAGCCGGGCTGAGTTCTCACTGTGGCCGGTGTGTGTGAGGGAGAGTCATGGGAGCGGCTGACATCTGGAGTGGAGATCTGGTGTGTTTATAGAGGACGAGCCGCTCCTATCCTGACCATCACTATCTGTGCATCTCTCACACACACTCACACTCACACACTCACACACACACACACATACTGGTACGGGTGGTTTATAAAGACTTTTTCCCCTAAAAAGTTCCATCCTGGTTTATGGGGACCCACCTTTCCCTTTGTCATAGAGATCAATAAGAAATATTAAACTGCTCCTTATGGCATGGGGTAAAAATCTGACTGCTCAGAATTTAATTCTAATGAAACAGTCTGGTAATATGAAGACCTGACAAACTAAAGCACTGTAAGGACAGGGCAGGAGTGGGCGTTTCCTGATTTAATTGTGATTTATGAGGACTACCCTGGTTTATCTGGACATCACTCACATACATACACACACACACACACACACCTGACCCTTAATTATGAGGACAACCCCGGTTTATCTGGACATCTCACACATACACACACACACCTAACCCTTAATTATGAGGACTAACCTGGTATAACCTGGACTAACTTTACCCATGAGAGTGCCGCATCACTTAAGTTTGTTTCAATACCAGCATATAGAAAAACAAAACAAGAATATATCAGCAATTGTTCAACCTGGCTTAAACTTTAAGAGAGATTTCAGAAAACTAACCTGAGTTTGTAATGTGAGATTTAGCAGGTGTGAAGTGAGTGAAGAGCAAAGAGAGAAGAGGGAAAGTGAAATACGGAAATATTTTAGCTTTAAAAATTAAGAAATTAAAAAACCAAAAGGAGAGTTTACTATTTAACCATCACTGACAAATGCATTCACCCACAAGTATTTTTCATAATTGAACCTTGAATGTCAGTCTTAATTTATTAATTAGATTTTAAGAAGTTTTGTCTAAAGATAGTTTTGAATAAAGCTAAATATTTCCAGTTGATTGGGTTTGGGTTTTGTTAATCTGAAAAGAGAAGATTGTTCAAGACTTGCTATTAGTATCTAAATGAACATTGCTGACCATTTGGGTTAAACTGGACATCAGTAACCATATGAATCATGCATACACACACACAACCCTGACTAACCCTTGATTATGGGGACATTTTGGGTTTAACTGGACCTCACCTCACACACACTCACAAACACCTAACTAACCCTTGATTATGGGGACATTTTGGGTTTAACTGGACCTCACCTCACACACACTCACAAACACCTAACTAACCCTTGATTATGAGGACATTTTGGGTTTAACTGGACCTCACCTCACACACACTCTCAAACACCTAACTAACCCTTGATTATGAGGACATTTTGGGTTTAACTGGACCTCACCTCACACACACTCACAAACACCTAACTAACCCTTGATTATGAGGACATTTTGGGTTTAAGTGGACCTCACTCACACACACACACTCTCAAACACACACAAACACCTAACTAACCCTTGATTATGAGGACATTTTGGGTTTAACTGGACCTCACCTCACACACACTCTCAAACACCTAACTAACCGTTGATTATGAGGACATTTTGGGTTTAACTGGACCTCAACTCACACACACTCTCAAACACCTGACTAACCCATGATTATGAGGACATTTTGGGTTTAACTGGACCTCACTCACACACACACTCTCAAACACACACAAACACCTAACTAACCCTTGATTATGAGGACATTTTGGGTTTAACTGGACCTCACTCACACACACACTCTCAAACACACACAAACACCTAACTAACCCTTGATTATGAGGACATTTTGGGTTTAACTGGACCTCACAAACACACACAAACACCTGACTAACCCTTGATTATGAGGACATTTTGGGTTTAACTGGACCTCACCTCACACACACTCTCAAACACACACAAACACCTAACTAACCCTTGATTATGAGGACATTTTGGGTTTAACTGGACCTCACCTCACACACACTCTCAAACACCTAACTAACCCTTGATTATGAGGACATTTTGGGTTTAACTGGACCTCACTCACACACACTCTCAAACACACACAAACACCTAACTAACCCTTGATTATGAGGACATTTTGGGTTTAACTGGACCTCACTCACACACACTCTCAAACACACACAAACACCTAACTAACCCTTGATTATGAGGACATTTTGGGTTTAACTGGACCTCTAAAACACACACAAACACCTGACTAACCCTTGATTATGAGGACAAACTGGGTTTAAATGGACATCACTATTAACTCCACACATAGCAGGAGTACCTGTATTAGAGTTAACCATACTAAACCAAATCAACTATTCTACATTAAAGAGTGAATGATTGTGCATCTTTTTGCTGCCACTAAACCTGTAAAAGTAATACGCACACCTAAGGAAATAGTGCTACAATGTGCTGTTGCTATATCAACCAACATATACACATGGTGCAAAATAAACCTGGTTGGAGAAAATTCAGTGATCAAAGATCAGCAAGTTTTACACTTCATAGAAGACTAGTTAAAGGGCAATTAGATGAAGAAATGCAACTAGACAGCCAATAAAAACTAACAAAATTAAACTGAAAGGGCAATTTTTATTTTGCAAATGGTAAAAAAAGGCTCAACAACTGAGATCTAATAAGGCCATTATTAGAGATGCACCGATTGATCGGCTTGGGACCGGAATTGGCCGATTTTCACGTGATCGGCCATGACCGGCGATCGGCCGGTCAGTCTGACATATGCCGATTTTATACCGGTCAAACGCACTCAGGCGCCGCATGATTAACATCAGCATCACACGTGCACACGGAACGCACATGTAGAAAACCTCGTGAATTACGTCCGTTTCACACCGCAAGCGTGAGAGGCGTGTATTTTTTTCGGCGTGCATGTTAATCAGTGAATGCATCACACCGGGAGCGGGAGCAGAGCGTCAAGCAGGAGCGGCGCGTGAGCAGTGAAGCGGTTTCGGCACAGAGTCTATTTTTGCTGCGCTGCTCACACTCAATTAAAGTGAAAGCACACTTTTTTTGATGGGCAAAATAAATATGATTTCACACAAAAAGTGGCCAAAATGCACAGAATTTGCATGTCTAGTGTGTTTTAACAAGAACTGGAGTAGGCTATGTCAGAAAAGAAAATGAAGAAGACTCAAAAATATTTATAGAAAATTCACCCATTTAAACTTGTTTTTATTATTCAGTTTGGGTAGAAGTATATGCTGTTTTATAAAAAAAAAAAAATAGAAAATAAATATTTGTGTGTGCTGTAAAGTGGTTAGAAAAAATGAAATCGGAATCGCCTAAAATAGGTATCGGCAGGTCAAACTCGGAAAAATCGGAATCGGCCTAGAAAATTGTAATCGGTGCATCTCTAACCATTATGGGACTAAAGTGCATGAGGGAGTGTGCCTCAAAATGACCTCAGCAACACACTGGAAATAAAACCAAATTAAATTGCCTTCCAGTAAATGCATGTATTTGTACATTTCTTTCAAAACAGTGTTTTAATAAAAGTAAATAAAAGGATGTCTTGAACACTCTTCTGGCCCAACAACACTTTAGAGAACAAAACCCACAGACATTAAAGGTTGTATCAGCGATTTCAGGCCCAAACATAAATGATCACATTCATCTAATCTTTCCTAACGATCCGCTAGCTGCCCGCCCCATAAGTATGCCGTCCAAAAACCGCGTCTCTGTAGGCAGCCTAGGCTCTGAGATCTGCACACAAAAACAATGGGTTTCACCAACCACTCAAAACCAAAATAAACAGTGTTCCAACCAATCACCGACAGTTCCAACCAATCACCGCAAAATCTCAAACCACAACACCCCCACCTTTTGTGTGCAGATCTCAGAGCCTAGGCTGCCTACAGAGACGCGGTTTTTGGACGGCATACTTATGGGGCGGGCAGCTAGCGGATCGTTAGGAAAAATTAGATGAATGTGATCATTTATATTTGGGCCTGAAATCGCTGATACAACCTTTAATGGAAGGCGACACTGATCTCTCGAAGAGCTCTAAGAAGATTTCTTTTCCAAATAAAACTTCGGTTCCTCACGAAATCCCTTATATTTTGGGCCGTTCTTTCTCTCAGAACAGGGTCCTCTGCAGTCTTGCACTGCTCACACTCTGCCTTTGTTGCAAGGTGTCCCTTTGAAATATGGACTCTGAAATGTTT